TATTTGTTTGTTCCAAGTGAAAAAAAGGTTTGCCAGTGAAAGACATCCTTATTTTTACTTTTAACTTTCTTAAATAAATCGCAAAGTTATTTATAAATATATAAATGCAACATAAATATTAAAATAAATAATAATGGGGGTTCGAGACAGAAATGTGAAAACCAGAACCCGGGTTCGAGAATTTTAAAATTACCGATTTTCCAAAGATGGGTTATAACCTGCCCCAGGCCCATTTTACCCCGGGTTTAATGAGTTGTCTTTAAATCGGTCTCTGTTTGTTGAGGTTTCAAAATGTCTAACCAAACAAATTTTAAATTTCCTGAACCCGGGTTCTGGTTCACATCCCTGGGATTTGAGATTTTTTTTTCCTATAAGCTTAATTATGAAGGCTAAAAAAAAATTTTTTTGATGCATGACTCTAATAATGATCTTCATTCCTATACTTAGAGCAAGCCACTTCACTCCCCCTTCCTTAATATTATAATCAACTGGTTGATGCACTTGTCCAGACCCGGGGTTCAGACCTCCATTTTTTAACGCGTAAACGAAGGTTTTTCTCTCTGCGGAGGAATCGCGTTTTATATTGTAATTTACTCATATTACACTCATCTCGGGCATGTTGCTTACTCGACAATTTTCAAAACAAATCCATTGACGTTCCCATTTTATAACATTTTACATCCCCCCCCCCTTCCCCCCCAATTCCTCAAAAACGACTTGACATTTATGTTTTTTTTTAATTTCCTTGGGGAATCATATTCTAAGCAAGTGATAATTCTAGAGTAATATCACCAGAACTCGCCTTTCCAGTTTTATATACAATCCTACCTTCTGTCCATAAATTTTTTAGTTATATGTTCACTCTTCAATCAGCTTCGGGTCCAATAATCAGGTTTCTCTTCTCTTCCCTGTTGTGCGACAGCAAACATTTCCTAATATAATTCACAAAATTACACTGATTTATTCTTCTCTGAAGGATTTAGGTATAAACTCTTAACAATAACTGTCAACCTGAGACTTCCTTCCAGAATAACTCAACTCCCCTCCCCCAACACACCACCGAGACTGTAGATAGCGATTCAATTATAGAATGGATAGACTGAAGATCCTAACCCCTTATTTTTTTTCAATTGCGACAACATGTTAGAGAACCCTAATAATATGATCACTTCCCCAAATTTAGTTTCATTTTGCTGGTGTCTAAGAAGCATTTAAGCAGCATCAGACAAATATTATTTTTTTATATAAAGGATTCACATATTTTAAGCCAAATAATATTTAAATTAACCTGTGTAACGTCAAACGATATGATAGAATTAGATTATCAGTGTTTTCTTTCAACAATTTTATCTGAATTAATACAGTATAATAATATTTTTTTTTAAAGTTCAAAACTTACTTTAATTAATTTAAAACATTATATTTATATTTAAAACTTTAATTAATTTAAAACTTTAATTTTGCATTTAAAAACTTTATTCAAATAATTAAGAAGAATATAAGTAAAATTAATTTTGTAACAATCATATTAAAATAATCTCATTACTTAACAATAATATGCGATGATGATCTCAATATTTATAAAGAAACGTCATACATGAATATATATATAATATTTATCATCATAAAATGGATATAATAATTAACGAGTTATTATTTATATCGATAGATGGTAACTGAAAGCTTCATTCCTCTGAAGAAGAACTAGGAAAGTTATCTTGAGTTAGTGGTAAAAATTTGTCAAGGAATGCCTATCAAAACTGCATATTCTCAATAATAATAAGGAAATTCCCTATATAATATGAAATAAATGTTCGATTACTTATAACGATACATTATATAATATATAATTTCTAATTTTTTCTTTTTAGATTTCACCTTTTTCTGGTGGTAAACTCCTTGCAATATCTCTCTTTCCACTTTATGTTAGTCATTACTATCTCTTTCATCTAATTTATATTTCTTCATATTGGCTTCTAACTTTATGGCCCCATTGAAGTTTTGGCCTTCCTCTTTTACGTTTGCCCCATCACTTCCAAACTCTTAACCTTATTTCCTGTATAGTTCATAGGGACCCTCTCATTGTGTGCCCGTAACCACCTAAGTCTGTTTACCATTATCTTAGTCTCAATAGGCACTACCTTTAAAATTCCAATATTCTTGCACTTCGCATCTTATTCTTTCTTGCTACCCCAGCATTCATCTTTATATACATGTATGTATATGATGAACCAAAAAAAAGATAAATAAATATTTTTCATAAGTATCTTCGGAAATCAAACTGTAAAAAGTCGTAAAATATATTTATGTTAAAAAGCCAGAGGGTTCTTATTAAGTTTTCAGCTAAAAAAAGATTATGTAAAGGCATCGTAGATTATGGCCAATAGATGCCCAAATGAGTGTTGCTAACTCAATACTTCATCCACAATAATACTAGGCAGACCTGAAGATTAAGCTTGTAGAAGGAACAGAGGTTTGGACATCTATTAGCGAAATCTCGTAGATTAGGGCAATATTTGTCCGGGCTAAAATATTGAGTTAGCCGTTTTTAAACGAGTCCAACACTTGTCCAAGCATTTCTGCCAGCTACGAGCACGATATTACTTTGGTTACAATTTTAACCGAGTCCGTTATCATCCAAAATAGACCCGCATCGGGCATTTTAACAACACCGGATGTGAACCCGCCTAACGAGAAATTTTAAATTTAATTTGATGGAAATTTTGATAACCGAGGAACTTAATCAAAACCGATTTCCTGAGAGGGGTCCGAACCTGCCCCAGGTCCATTTTACCCCGGGTTTAATGTTAACCGAGTCCGTTATCATCCAAAATAGACCCGCATCGGGCATTTTAACAACACCGGATGTGAACCCGCCTAACGAGAAATTTTAAATTTAATTTGATGGAAATTTTGATAACCGAAGAACTTAATCAAAACCGATTTCCTGAGAGGGGTCCGAACCTGCCCCAGGTCCATTTTACCCCGGGTTTAATGTTAACCGAGTCCGTTATCATCCAAAATAGACCCGCATCGGGCATTTTAACAACACCGGATGTGAACCCGCCGAACCCGGGTTCGAGAAATTTTAAATTTAATTTGATGGAAATTTTGATAACGGGAGAACTTAACCAAAGCCGATTTCCTGAGAGGGGTCCGAACCTGCCCCAGGTCAATTTTACCCCGGGTTTAATGAGTTTGTCCTTAAATCGGTCTCTGTTTGTTCTGCGGTTTCAAAGTGCCCAACCAAACATTTTTAAATTTCCCTGGTTTTTTTTTCCCACAAATATTCGCTTTATTATTCGCGTGAAAAAATTGTACTTTTTAAAAAAATTTAATTTTTATCCCTTCTTTCGCAAATGGGGTTGAATTAAAACATAGAGACCGGGTTATTTCCTTTTTGAATAAACCGTAGTTAAACGGGATCCGATCCGTTAAAAAATGGCCAGCTCAATATTTTAGTCAGTCAGTTTTACCCGGACCTGAAAATTTTGATCATAGATAACGCATCTGTTCATACACCTATTAGTGAAGCATTGAGGCTTAGGCGATATATTTTCTGGATAAAATAATGAGTTAACCGTTTTTATAAATCGGCAATCGAGTTCTCTTCTCTTCTCTTCTCTTCTCTTCTCTTCTCTTCTCTTCTCTTCTCTTCTCTTTTCTTCTCTTCTAATCTCTTCTAAATAACAGTATATGGAAGGTAAATCTAAGTTTACACATAAAGATTATTTTTCTAGCAGAGTTTATAAATATTTCATATACAGTTTTTGTTTTCTATTATCGTATTGTTTTTTATGTTTTTAAAAAAAAAATTTAATATCAAATGAAGATGAATTTAATAAAAAAAACAATTGTTGATCAATTTTTTTCAAATTTTCTTCTAATAATCCGAAATTAAAGTTTTTTTTTAAAAAAAATAACTAAAGTTTTTTTTAAAGATTAAAGTTTTAAATTTAATTTAAATAATGTTTTAATTAAAAAAATTTAAGAGTTCTTTTATAAAAAACAATATAAAAAACAATATAATAATAATACCAGATTCATTACAAAAAATATATATTAAGCTTGAAAGAGATAATACAGTTGTGGTTTAATTCTATAATATCGTTTAACGTTAGCGTTACAAGTAAATTTTAATATATTTGTTCGAAAATAATTATGATGCGAAGTTTTATATTCTGTTAAAAACACTGGTAAATCAAGTTAAGAATCTGGTTGGCAAGTCCCATGTTATCGGGGTTCCCTAAGATACTATAGCGTCATCAAAATTATCGGTATGTTAGCAACCTAAGGTAGGTATCATCTAGTCTGTCTATTTTTATCTGGGAGGTAGGGGTGAGGGTGGGGGTAGCCATATTGGCTTGAGGGGATGAATCCTCGAGAGAAGAATCTATCAAAGAAGGAATTTTGAGAATGGAAAAGAAAACGTTTGCTATTTTGGGGGTCCAGCTGGGAAGAAAGATAATGACCTGATTTTAAGATGATCTAAAGGACCGAGTTAAATTTTGTGCGCACGACAAAGTAAGGTCGTGATTGACGAGGCGGGTGACACATAGAATTACGAGCGTTGTTAGAGAATTGTGCTGAGAAAAAGATTCTCTAAAGGCATAAGAATGAGATTAGAACCCAAATATTTAATTTTTTTTTTTGAATGGGTGGTAGAAGATCTAAAAGGGTTGTAAACGCAGGAGTTAGAGGATCTGTTATAAAATATTAGGGGGGATGCCAACATACCCGAGAGTATTTGTCGAGGTTCAGAAAAGAAGATCGTATTAGGGATTCCGCAGAATCGGAATCAGCCTGAGACAGCTATTTAATTTTTCGGTCGGCAGTTATCTCACTATCTATAGTTTTTAATTTCTCAATTAGAGAATTTTTCCTCCTACAAGCGCTTGAAGATTTAGCCGGTAGAATCAGACTATTTTTTTTAACCAATTCCCCAATACCATTACAAATTATTAACATTTTTATAAAAAATATAAATTTGAAAGGCTAATATAAAAAGGATGAACCAATCAAAAAACGTCCAATCTCTTCCAATAATAACATCGTTATTCATCGTCATAATATGGGCATCCAATCGCGTTCACGGAGCAACTTACGTAGAAACATCCGATACTGGTATGAGCCCGAAAAATATATACATGTGTTAGGGCAATGTGTTTTTTCCCGGCAATGTTTTGAGCGCCAAATTTTAAAATTTAAAAAAATATCTGATTTAACCGGAAATGGATTCCGGCATGTTTGGAATACCAATCTTTATGAACTGCAATTTAGCCGTTAATCTTGAAGTCAATCATAATTATGGAAAAACTAATATAAATTGTATTAAGTTTCAAAAGTTTATGGTTGAAATTGGCTGAAATTTATAGGGTGAGGTATTCCAAACATGATAGAATATATTTCTGGTAAAAATCAAATTTTTTAAGTTTATAAAAAACTAAAAAAACTTGCTTAAATAATGATTTTAAAGTTGTAAAAAAACACACATTGCCAGATGTAAAATAAATATTGCCGAAAAAAACACGTAAAAACACATTGACGCTAAACATATATATTATAATATTATTATTTCTATTTTAAATCGAATTATTCTAATAATTTTTACCCATTTTTTTTTACACATTATATATTTTTTAAAGTTTAGCTTCATTTCATTTCATTTCATTTCATTTCTTTTACTTTTTTTTTAAAATTATTGTAATCTAAAGTTATTTGATGTATTTTAAACCTTTGTATTTTTAAATGAATGGCCGATAACAAAAACGACAAAGGAAATTCTTTACATTTAAATATAAAATTAACCTGATTGGTCATTCCCGTTTAATCTACAAAAATAATTTTACGCCATTTTGTAAAAAAAACATATGAGTGGAGATTAGGGCTTATATAGTTGGACCGGCTCACAAATTGTTCGAAGTTATTTTACGGGTCGGTTAAAATCCCCTCCGCCCCGACCTAACGAAACTCGCATTGACATTTTATCCGTCACTCAATCTATAAAAAAATAAAATTGATTGACAGATTTATTTGCTTAAAAACAAAATGGCGGTATAAGTTCAATCAGAACAACAATGTATATAATAGCTCCTTCCCTAAATTAAAGATCCCTAAATATTTTTTTTATTATGATTTAGGTCAATGTACGCTACGCGTTATGGGGCAAGATGATACTCTTAACCCCGGGGAAATATGGAAATCATCTCACGATCTGTGCACGGAATGTTCATGCCGCCAATCCCCAGACGACGGTTTATGGCATACGGATTGTAAAAGGTAATCCACCAAAAACGTTTCGATTTGGTAAATCCCTTCCGCGTCATGTGACTATATATCGAACTTAGGGAAGTGTTTTTTAGTAAAAAAAAAGAGACATCCATCCCTGATGAAAATATCCTTCAAATCACGATAAATTTTTTATTTTAGTAGTCTTAGTTGGTTCTGAAAATAAATTTTTTTTTTAAAAAAAACTCACCACCCTCTAGATTCATCTGTAGATGGAAAGATGTTGCTAAGTGTAAGCCGAATAAATGAATGAATGAGTGAATAAATAAATAAATGAATTCAAAAATATCTCCCGGGCTATCCACATAATAAACATATATCGCGGGAGTAAATAAAAAGGCGCGGGGCTAAATCACATGGGATTTTAATTTGGCATCTGTCAGAAGTGATCTCATTATTTTGATTGGTTGAACAGGCCTTCTAGCCATTTGTCACCATTCACGTCCATAACTAATTAATCTAAGGTTGGTAAGTTGCTTTGTATGATTTCCTGTTAAATTAGATAGTTCAAGAAACACGACCACAAAAGCTGCATTTCATATTTTCTTTAAATGTTTCTGCAGCTAGATATGCAAAATTAAGTAACGAATCCTCAATTGCTAATTAGATTAAAAATGAGTTCTCGATTAGTGATAGAGATGGCGTATGTGGAACAATTGTTTGCGGTATAGCAAAGCGTAGATCAGGTCTAAGGGGTAATTAGCAGACATTATCTGGCAAAATTTAGATTAAAAAATATTCTTTACGGATTTGATTTAAATGTCGTAATTTTTGGGAAGATTTGTGGAATTAGGAAAGTACCTAGACTAAAAAACAGAATTTTGGGAATGCTTGAGAAGTTTTTAATGGGTCTGATGCAAAGATAAGAATCTAAGGAGATATTGCACTGATGTAACATAATTAAGGTTTCTATATCATATGAATATTTGGATATTGGTTAAACTTCCAATTGGTGATCCAAGTACCTAATCATTTGATCATGGGAGTAAATATGTCTAGGATGGGTGAAGATTATTTTTGTTTTTGAATAAATTTAACATTTTCCTTTTATCTAAATGATATGTTAAGTTTTTAAAACTAAAGATAATGATAATGCTAAGGGTTTTGTTTATTTCGTTTATAGCTCCTGAAAGTAGTATAACATCATCTAAATACCAAACGTTCAGGTTAAGATCCCACTTAATCTTTATAGATCTTGAATTATTTTCTTTATTGAAAAATGGAACAAGAATGGACCTGGAGAATCGTCTGCTGAAGTCCCTGCGCTGATTTCTATATATGGCAATATTGATGGGTTTTCCATACCTTGAATGTATGTAGTCTACGAATTCAGAATATTTTTCATGGAAAACTCTGAATCACAATGTTTTGTGAATTTAATAAATTTAAAGTATTTTGCGATGTCAAATTCGAGATGGTAAAATTCTGTATACAGACCCTGACTTTAAATCTAATCCGAGTTTGTTTGATCGAAGAAATATGATAATAAATCTAATTATGGAATAATCCCGCATAAAAACACTCCCAATGCTAAATTTAATCCTGAAGAGACATAGACCCGATATCATCCACTTCGTTGTTATTATTAAGGTTAGCTCTAAATTTACGTATTCAAGCCAAGCATATTTTTCTCTCTCATGATATTTAATATTAATAATATATTATGTGGTTGATTATTACAATATTTCCTAGTTATATATATAATTTTTTCCAGCTGTGCAAGTATTAAAATAATAAATTTGAAATTTAAAGTGATCAGCCGAGTTCCGCTCGATATTTAGCAATAACCGATTTTTATGTTGAAGAAAGATAAGAAAGAAAGAAAGAAAGAAAGAAAGAAAGAAAGAAAGAAAGAAAGAAATATCGGAATGAATAAATAATTTTATTTTTTTTATATTTTTCCTCTTCTTTATAATAACGATAACAGCTGTGGAGTTGTAGCTACACCCTGTGAGAGTATTCCTGATGACGATACCCTATATCCGGATTGCTGTCCAAAACTCTGCGGCAACATATCCTGACCCAATAAACAAAACAACAACAACAATTCTATTTGATTATTTCTATAATTTACTTACATATTTGTTTTGATGAAACAGATAATATATGCGACAATTATTTTACAATGTGTTTTTACGAATTCTGCAAACACAAAATAAACGGTATTTAAAAAAAAAAAAATACGAAATTCATTTTATTAGTGTTGTTAAACAGCTGGTTTAGAATCGATTTTTTTTAAAATGGCTGACTCAATATTTTAGCCAGAAAAATGTTACCTAAGCCGAAGAGAAGAGAAGAGAAGAGAAGAGAAGAGAAGAGAAGAGAAGAGAAGAGAAGAGAGAGAAGAGAAGAGAAGAGAAGAGAAGAGAGAGAAGAGAAGAGAGAGAAGAGAAGAGAAGAGAAGAGAGGATAAGCTACGCTAATAGATGTACAAATTTTTATTCCTTCTACAAGCAAAATCTTCAGGATTGCGTAATATTATTCTGGATGAAATATTGAGTTTAAATCTCATACAGCGTCTACATGAGCAATGGGGGGTAAGAACAGTTTGTATCCATGGGAGGGGGGGGGATAATCTATTAAATTTTCTAAGATGAAGTTGGAATAAAATGTATTGCTGTTTAAAAATTAATACTTTTTTTATTATAGACCTATGATTGGTAAAACATCGAACCAAATATATATATTATACACAGTTATAGACATTATAATTCCGAATATAATGTATTTTCTGGATCATTTTGTGCTTATCCTTTTGAATGTGTAATTTAAAAGGAGTTAGAGATTCTAACAGTAAAACTCATATTCATGCCCTAACAATATACAATAATGCATTCGTTGTAAATGTGGGGTTTTTTTTTAAATTGAATCTATAGTTCTAAAAAAAATAACTCTTTTCAGGTTCACAATATTTTGATAGTTGGTTGTAGAGCATTAATAGTTGTAAATGTGTATTTTTTACATTATATACAATATTTCTTTAGATTTTATATTTAATTTTATACGATATCATATGACAATCTTATAAGTTATGCATATTTCGAATATCAAAAAAATGTCAATCAATTTATTATTCAGGGAATAGGAAACTCTAAAACCAGAGCCTAGTAATAAATTGGCACTGTCATTATATATTACTCCATTCAAATTTTGTTTATTGATTCCAGAGTTGTTAAAATATACTTTTTAAATGGATCTAGATACAGATACAACGTCTAAAATAATATCTGAATACAGATTATTTAATCAAAAATCTATCTAGATACAGATACACATACCACATTTTTATTTCTAGATAAAGGATAGATACTTGTATCTAGATCCTTTAACAACTCTGATTGATTCCCTTTGTGTAAGCTAAAAATAAGATGGTTTAAAATTATATATTTAATAATTTAAATGTGTTACGAGTTATTAATATTATTTTAATCATGTTAATTATTAGAATTAATTAATACATTAATTGTTGATTAGTCTTATATTTTAAATTTGAATATTTATTTATTTTTAAAATATATTAACATTATATCATTTGAATATCTTATATTATTTAAATTGATTGTTTAATATATTCAATTAACTTTGTTTGATATTTTTTGTATAAATAGATTGTGATAGAAAAAAGAAGTTAGTTAATAAAATTTAAATTTATATTACTAAAACAAATTTGTTTAACCTTATTTAAAATTAATAAACTCAAGTTATTATTTCTTAATATTAATTAAGGGAGATATATCATTATATATTTAAAAACAATATAATTAATAATGTCAAATTTCTTTTAGGTGGATTACGTATAGGTCTTTTGAGATGGGTTTGCATCCAGTGATAATACTGTCATTTAGACAGTGAATCTCATATGAGCATATAATTTAAATAATATATATATATAAATATTCATTAAATATTATTTTATTTTCCTTATTAAATCAGTAGATATAAGTTCAAGACTGTCAATGATCTTTTTATCATGTAAAGTAATATATATAAATCCTTGTTTAGTGACTCTCATTCATTATAAATACTACCATAGATGCACATAGTGTTGTTAAACGGCCAATATTTCCGCCAAAGAACTATTGTCTGAGGCTCCAGATTTTCGCTAATAGATGTCTAGAACCTACGTGCCATCTTACGAGCAAAATCTTCAGGCTCGAGTAATATTTTTCTGGATTTTAGAAATAGGTTAGAATCGTTTAACGACACTAGAAGCACGACATTTAATTTAAGTATAAGAATATTTTTGAAAAATAATTTTATAGATATTTCCGTTAACTTTTAAATGAATAAATTATAAGTTTCATGCAAAAATTATTTTAAAAAAAAAATATATATATGCTCGTTTTGAATGAGAATTTGCTCTAAAAGAACGATAAAAATAGAGGGTATTCATATTTTTTTTATATGTTCGAATTGAACGAGAACAAAATATGCAAATGTTGTTTAACGTATTTTGTGTTCTCTTTAATAATAGTTTTTGTAGGAGAACAGTGGTGAATCCTGTATATAAGTTTAATAAAAAATTGTATTTGTACCTCGTTACATTTTTAGTGGTGATGTATCTGTATCGGTATCTAGATCCATTTAAAAAGTATCTTTTAACAACTCTGGTTTTAGTACAAATTTAGATTTAAAAAAGAATTATTATTTTCAACTGACTTGTTTGGCTGGAACAGTAATAGGGGAAACTTGCGAAAAAAAAATTCTAACGTATAACCGACTCCTAGAAAAAACATCAAACTCGCTGGAAAGGTAGCTGAGATATGAAATCCTAAGAAAATTCGTCTCCAATGAGCTTCTTTCCTAGAATTTTGATGGAAATTTTCCTTAGGATATTCGTGGTTATTCTAACCAAGACCGGTTGTAACTGTAAGATCCCACCCTCAGGGCTATATTATTTTAGTAGTATCCTTGCCCTGATATCTATCTTGATCTGAAAAACATTAAATAGGTAAAAAAAAAACATGTTTAAAAAAAAAATGTCTAAAGATTTGAAGGTGTTTTCTAGAAATTTCGATAAAATAAATAATCTAAATCAAGGAAACATACGAAATATAAAGTTTATAGTTTTGTTTACCAATAACAGAGACCTACAGAGATACCATTTGCAAGGCCAGGCCCGGCCCGGATTATTTGATTTGATTTTTTATAGCTAATAATGACGATTTCGAATATTTGGTTTCAAAATATTCGACCCGGCACTGCCTGAGTATATAAAAAAATTGAAATACAGCACGGCCCGAGCTTAGAGCCGGGCCTGCAGCTCTTTGATCAATATAATGTTTTTTTCCAACTTTTTGATTCCTTCTAATCTTCTTAAATGACTTCTACTACGGTTTCTCTACCCTACAAAAATAATTAAGTTTCTTGTATACATACATAATATTAATTTTCCTTGGGGAGGGGGGGGGGTATGCTTAGTGCACAGATAAATCTGGCCTTGGTTTTGTTAAAGAATTTATCTTAATTTCTTAATTGAATCATACTAAGGGAGATTTATAATCCAGGGAATATTGGAATTACTGAGCAATGTAATCTTAAATCATTTATAGAGTAAACACATTTATCCTTTTTTTTAAAAAAGATTTAAGATTTTTCCGGATTTGTATTCCAGTCTGCGAGTAGAAACCTATACCATATGAAATTTTAATAAAATTTTGCATTTAATTTTTAAATAAATCTATCTTACATGGATTAATTGAAGTTTACCTAAAATTCCATTGGCAAATAATTATATGAATAAATCTTTCTTTCTTTCTTTCTTTCTTTCTTTCTTTCTTTCTTTCTTTCTTTCTTTCTTTCTTTCTTTCTTTCTTTCTTTCTTTCTTTCTTTCTTTCTTTCTTTCTTTCTTTCTTTCTTTCTTTCTTTCTTTCTTTCTTTCTTTCTTTCTTTATTTCTTTCTTTCTTAATAGTTTTTTTATAAATTAAATTTATTATCACCATTAATTTTTTTTAAAAATTTATATCAATTCATTTGTTTTTTTCATAAATTTCAAATATCCAATAAAAAAAAAAATTATTGTCGCTTCGTTTTTATTGGCTGAGTCTCGGGTGGACGCATTTGATTGGACAACAATCCGGATATGATTCCTGCGTATAAGCGTAGCAAGAGAAATTATTGGGATTACATCTGTAGAAAAAAAAAACATTATTATTAAAATAAGAAGAAAAGTTTATTAGGTAAATAGATTATCCGAATAGATCTTATTTAGCAAACGACTCTAAAGTCGATCAGACATTAAGGAAATATCGCATGACCAACAAAATGACATATCATGAAAGGAGAGGAGGAGGAAGGAAGGAAGGAAGGAAGGAAGGAAGGAAGGAAGGAAGGAAGGAAGGAAGGAAGGAAGGAGGAAGGAAGGAAGGAAGGAAGGAAGGAAGGAAGGAAGGAAGGAAGGAAGGAAGGAAGGAAGGAAGGAAGGAAGGAAGGAAGGAAGGAAGGAAGGAAGGAAGGAAGGAAGGAAGAGGAAGGAAGGAAGAGGAAGAAAGGAAGAAAGGAAGAGAAAGAAAGTTTTTAAGAACATAATCCCAAACTGAGACTAATCTTATGAACAACTTCATTTTAATATTAATTTTTGAGCGGAGGAAATATTTCGGAACGCTTCGCGAAGATCGGTTTAAATGAATGTTGGCGCGTTATGAAATTATCCGCTTATTATAAGAGTTAAAAATTCTAGCGGATTCGAAATCTCCCACCAAAAAAACTGGACTGAAGTTCGTTTTGAGGCAGGTTGGACAAAATTATTTAAATATTTTTACGAATTACTCATCGCAATCCATCCGCATCATGTAATAGTCGCCATACGGAGCGCACTTGCATTCCATACAAATGTGAGGCGGCGCGTTATATTTTTCGCCGGGGCTAAACTTAGCCTCGAGGTTATAGAGCTTTACAATACATTTATCTAAATTTAAAAACAAAACAAAAAAAATATTCTTTTTTTTATCCGAAAATTTAAAATCAATATCCGGTATCTTTAAATAAAACAGCTGTTAGATTCGTGGTTTACATGTGATGCCGAGCACGACATACCT